TGTTGCACCACTAGTTACACCACTATGTGAGGCCAGTGTTTGGTTGTGTTGAGAGCTGTGTTGCACCACTAGTTACACCACTATGCGAGGCCAGTGTTTGGTTGTGTTGAGAGCTGTGTTGCACCACTAGTTACACCACTATGTGAGGCCAGTGTTTGGTTGTGTTGGGAGCTGTGTTGCACCACTAGTTACACCACTATGTGAGGCCAGTGTTTGGTTGTGTTGAGAGCTGTGTTGCACCACTAGTTACACCACTATGTGAGGCCAGTGTTTGGTTGTGTTGAGAGCTGTGTTGCACCACTAGTTACACCACTATGTGAGGCCAGTGTTTGGTTGTGTTGAGAGCTGTGTTGTACCACTAGTTACACCACTATGTGAGGCCAGTGTTTGGTTGTGTTGAGAGCTGTGTTGCACCACTAGTTACACCACTATGTGAGGCCAGTGTTTGGTTGTGTTGAGAGCTGTGTTGCACCACTAGTTACACCACTATGCGAGGCCAGTGTTTGGTTGTGTTGAGAGCTGTGTTGCACCACTAGTTACACCACTATGTGAGGCCAGTGTTTGGTTGTGTTGAGAGCTGTGTTGCACCACTAGTTACACCACTATGTGAGGCCAGTGTTTGGTTGTGTTGGGAGCTGTGTTGCACCACTAGTTACACCACTATGTGAGGCCAGTGTTTGGTTGTGTTGGGAGCTGTGTTGCACCACTAGTTACACCACTATGTGAGGCCAGTGTTTGGTTGTGTTGGGAGCTGTGTTGCACCACTAGTTACACCACTATGCGAGGCCAGTGTTTGGTTGTGTTGAGAGCTGTGTTGCACCACTAGTTACACCACTATGTGAGGCCAGTGTTTGGTTGTGTTGGGAGCTGTGTTGCACCACTAGTTACACCACTATGTGAGGCCAGTGTTTGGTTGTGTTGGGAGCTGTGTTGCACCACTAGTTACACCACTATGTGAGGCCAGTGTTTGGTTGTGTTGGGAGCTGTGTTGCACCACTAGTTACACCACTATGTGAGGCCAGTGTTTGGTTGTGTTGGGAGCTGTGTTGCACCACTAGTTACATCACTATGTGAGGCCAGTGTTTGGTTGTGTTGAGAGCTGTGTTGCACCACTAGTTACACCACTATGCGAGGCCAGTGTTTGGTTGTGTTGGGAGCTGTGTTGCACCACTAGTTACACCACTATGTGAGGCCAGTGTTTGGTTGTGTTGAGAGCTGTGTTGCACCACTAGTTACACCACTATGTGAGGCCAGTGTTTGGTTGTGTTGGGAGCTGTGTTGTACCACTAGTTACACCACTATGTGAGGCCAGTGTTTGGTTGTGTTGGGAGCTGTGTTGCACCACTAGTTACACCACTAAGTCTACTCCCATAATTACACTAGGCAAAGTCCATCACTGAAAACAATGACTAGTATTAATATGTCGATGAAAATAATACTGCCTCAAAGAGATTTTTCAGGTAAACATTTCAGGATTATTATTCAAGATTTTAAAAACTCATTCCCTGCATCGTTTTGCGTTAATTTCCAAATTAGGCTTGTCTAATGTTACGCTATTTACGAATTTTATAAATTTTGCGGTTTCTTCTAATTACATAATTTGGTCAATCTTAAAACAAAAATGATAAGCAGTTCAATCAACGATGATTGAAAAGTGCATTTGAAGGCTCTCAATGGCTGTTGATTTTATGAGTTTCATCTCTTGTGATTTAAGGTTTGAAAAATATTTCACATACCATTTTTGACATTTATAAATTCTGAGTTTTGATTTCAAAGGTTTTTATGGTGTTCAAGTAGTTTAAATGTGAGGAGAAAATGTGTGAAAAACATCAATCTACAAATGCCTACAACGTGAGATCATTCTTGACAAGAAAATTGTTCATTGGTCAAAAACAGACAAATTTCATCTAAAAGCTCAACGAATCGTTTAAGGACAGAACCTCTTCAATGCCAACGAATGTTGTTGTACATTAGTAGTCCTGTGTACACAGACCTCCCATCACTCAGTAACTTTCTAAATTGTCTTATTTTTTTACAGTTCAGATTTGTAATGAACTATCTTGGTTACAATATTCACGACTATAGGTGCCTTAAGGCCAGTTATACACACTAGGCTACCCTGTGTTCAATACAATTTAAGCCTACGTATGTCCTGGTGTTACGGACCCGAGCCCAGCGTCCGAGCACGGAGCAGTGACGACCGCGCCATCTGTGGGTCAGCTCCCGAAACCCCCTCCAAATGGACGGCGCCATCTAGTGAGGACAGGATATACCAGCCACGAGGGCTAGTTTCCCGTCCTAAGCAGCTCATAACACAGCCGCTGCCCTCTGGTGAGGTGGAGCTTAGACAGCAACGCCATCTATGGAGTGGATAGGTGGGCGTTTGTGTCTAAGCCTGTAAGTGAGGTGCCCTAGAGTGTCCCTATTACTGATGACGTGTCTGATTACAGAGTCGACCTGGGACTGCTGTAATGAACGTTGGATCAGTCTACCCAAGGCAGTCGAAGAGTCTCCATGTGTTTGCTGCAGCAGCTGTGAGTCACCCCCCCCCCCCCCCCCCCGGATGAACACTGTGGTGTTAGCCTGCCTGTGACGTGGCAGTTGAGGGATTGTCGTACCCGGGGCTGACTGGTGGAGACGCTTAACCACTGGGGTGTTGTGGTGATGAGAGTTTTCTGTGGGATCACACGAGGCTCCTGACTAGGGCTCGCAACCCTAGTATCGGTCGTGGAGTGGCCTACGCAGCGTTGCTGATTGGAACCTGCCAGCTATAGGCTGGATTTGTGGTTGACGGCCTCCACGACGGTGCACCCAGTGGGACTGTGATTTGGCTGGCCTGTGGCCGGGGTAGACTCGTCGAGGGAATCAAAGGATTCATCGTGAGGCCACAAGAGAACCAGGACCACTCGTCTTGAGCACCGTGAACGTCCAGAGTCTTCAGAGGAAGACCACGTTGTACATAATAGTGTTTATACCTCCCCCGTGTGATAATCTATATATTATTTATGGTGATGGTGATAATTATATTATTAAGTTTTTGCCTTTGTCTCCCTTCCCCTTTAATTTACTTGCGTTACGGAGCACACCCCTTGAAAGCCACTACTAGCTTGGGGCCGGATACCCAAGCTCTACTAACATCAGAGAAAGAACCCAGTTGCGACCCGAGAGGGCCGTAACAAGCGTCCCCGCGGCCCGGTCCTCGACCAGGTCTCCTTTTTGTTACACACTCCCAGGAAGCAGCCCGTAGCAGCTGTCTAACTCCCAAGTAACTTGTGTACCTGGGAGCGTGTGTGCGTTAATGCATTTAGAAAATGTATTTCAAAATGTAAATCAAACTTAGTTACTTTCTTACAAGTCGTTCGTACCCAATTCTTTAAAATTCTTAACTTCTTTCCGTTTCCTTCTCGCCACACTCAAAATATCTTAGCCAAGTTTGGAAACATAATTGATGGTCACCTTCAGAAAATGAATTCTCTCTCTTATCAGTGACGTCAGAGATAAATTCGACCAATCAAGGGGTGTCTGGGAGTCCCCCTGATCAAGTGCAGTCTCGCTCACCCGGGCGGTGTTCTTCCGCCCGGCCTCGGGTCCGCTCGGCCCCGGGTCCGCCCGGGTCTACCTAGTGTTGGTTAATCCACTTGTCGAAATAACCTGAATGACTAATACATTTATAACTAAGTGATTATAAGCGGAAATTTATGAGCATATTTCTTGTAATTAATTTTCTTGCATATATAATTATATTTAATAAATTTCATTCAGCAACTTTCTAGGGGTTTAATAAGGAGTATACTTTATTCATTTTAATTAAACCACCACTTGATCATATTGGTGGTTTAATACAGAGTACGCTTTATCCATCCGGTGGTTTAATGACGTACATACAGTATCTCCCGGTGGTAGAGAACACACACAGCGGGTATCCGACCACCACCACACGGGTGATAACTGGTATCCGACCACCACCACACACGGGGAAGCGGGTACCCGACCACCACCACCACCACCGCACACGGGTGATAGCGGGTACCCGACCACCACCGCACTAACAACCAAACAAACAGCGCCTCGCAAAATTCTGGGTTTTCTATGCTTCGGTATGTTAGGTTAGGTAGGTGGCTTGGGTCTGTACGTCCCTGGTCAGGTTAGCACTTTGTATTTTGTACGTTGTGGCAAAACAAGAGACCGGGCTGGGACACCACGTAGAGACACTGTACACTGTGGGACTCATTCACTGGCTATCATCAAAACTACCAACTACATCTCTTACGATACTCTCCGACACACAGCATTTATTGTGTCACCAGCTCTGGTACCCGGCGTCGCTCGGGTGACGGACGCCACATCTTCACCACACACATCTATCGTCACTAATGATCTTCACTACCCGGGGAACACATCTACAACCATCATCGTTCCCAAACCAGATTCACTACACACTACTCTTATCACTGTAACCACCTTACCTACCCACGACCATCCTCATCACTGTAACAGTGTTCACAACCCTGGCACCGCCGGCTACACTATCCACACAGTGCCCAGTTTCTGGAGGCTCCCAACACTTAATCCAGAATCTTTATAATGCTTATTTATAAGAGATTGGAAAGTTGGTTTCAAGGGGGGGGGGGGGAATGTATTGGAATTATCATGGGGAAAGCATAAACCTAAACCACCTATGACCATTCCCCATCACCTATCAGTCATCCCGCAAAGTTTGGCTCTGCAGCATGACCGTTGCTGTGAGAGTGCCTTATTATTATTATTATTACTAACATTTATTGACAAAATTAATTACAATTTTGCCTAATCTGAGGATTTCAATTAAATCCTATTAAAGTGAGGATAATGCTGGTATTCACTGTCACGCAGGACAGAGGGTCATACACAAGACAATAGGTCCAAACTGGCCGGTGTAAGAGACCAGCACCCCAGTGAGGGGGGAGTGGTCTCCCAACTGGGGGAGAGGAAGGGGGTTGAATACAAGAGCTTGGTCTTACCTGGGCGGCAGCGCGGGGTTCGACTTCGATGATCTCATCAGAAGAGGAGGTGCTGGCCTTGCGGCTGTGCGAAGCCCTGGGCTGGGAGACGGGCGTGTGGCGGTGCGGGGTGGTGTCCAGGTCGGGCCCCGGTGTGAAGGACCGCAGGGGGATGCTGTCCCCGCGGCCCCCCAGCTTGTGGATGTCGTCCAGGAGGCTGTTGATGTCGGTCAGGTCCTTGTCGGGAGGGTCACCCGCTAGCAGGGTGAGGGGCGTGGTCTCCTCGGGGTCGTCGGCCCCCAGCTGCTGGGCACCGTCCCCCGCACCGCCCCCCACGCCACCGCTGAGCTCCCGGGGCGCGGCCGGTCCCCCGTTGCAGCGCCCACTGTCCCCGATCTCACGCATCACGTCCCCGCCGGCACGTGGCGACCACCAGCACATGGGGGTCCGGCCCACACTCACCAACCGTGGGCGACCCTGCAGCAGGGGCGCGGCCCCGTCTCCTGGTAGTGAGGTAGACGGCGGGCAGCGCTGCGGGCATCACAGGGCACGCTGGCCACCGGACACACACTCCTCATACACTACACTCAGCGCGCCTCAGGCACCATCACTCTCGGTGCTGCACAAGCGGCTCTCTTCACTCGTGTTTCTCCTTGCATTAAAGGCACGAAATATTGATGACAGGTTTATCAACAGAACGTGTTGTTATTATTATGCTTGCATGTGTTCATCTGCAACTGGAAGATTATTGCATTACTACACTGGCACCATCCCCAGCCCCGCATGCACAATACCCAGCCTCACTGGCACCATCCCCAGGCACCGTCTCCCCTCTCTGGCACCCTGACTCACCCCCCCCCCCACCCATCACTGCCAAATCCCTGCCGTCATTACTGAACCCCAACCACGACAACAATACACACCGCTCTCCCTCCCATACCCAGGTCCTCCCACATGGTCCCAGGTCCTCCCACATGGTCCCAGGTCCTCCCACATGGTCCCAGGTCGTCCTACATGGTCCCAGGTCCTCCCACATGGTCCCAGGTCGTCCTACATGGTCCCAGGTCCTCCCACATGGTCCCAGGTCCTCCCACATGGTCCCAGGTCCTCCCACATGGTCCCAGGTCCTCCCACATTGCCGCCCTCACCTCTGGTACCCAGAGGTGCGTAACAGCCGGGCACACAGTGGCAGGCCTGACAATGTCACCTTTGCTCCTCTGTGGCGACAAGATCATCATGACCATATTTTCAGGGCCAGTGGTGCCTCTGGCAACGGTGCCAGCCAGGGAGAGGGGGGGGTAGAGGCTGCAGGAATGTCACTGATGTTTCATTATCTAATGCTTGTATTTTACACAATGTCTTGGAGAAATATCTAATTTACGTCTCGGAGATGGTGGTGTTTTATGGGGCAAGTGTGAGTGTCTCATTTGGCAGACGTTCTATGCCAACATCTTGAGAAAAGTATTGATGTTCCTTCCTAGCAATCTACGTAGTTAAGACTGCTAGGACAGTAAGGGTTACAAAACTATTTTCTCGCCGGTTTTTATAGTGGAATGTTTGTCACGTGAGCTCCCTCTCCCACACACACGGCTCCTGGGCCCCCTCCCACACACACGGCTCCTGGGCCCCCTCCCACACACACGGCTCCTGGGCCCCCTCCCACACACACGGCTCCTGGGCCCCCTCCCACACACACGGCCCCTGGGCCCCCTCCCACACACACACGGCTCCTGGGCCCCCTCCCACACACGCGGCTCCTGAGCCCCCTCCCACACACGCGGCTCCTGAGCCCCCTCCCACACACGCGGCCCCTGGGCCCCCTCCCACACACGCGGCCCCTGGGCCCCCTCCCACACACGCGGCTCCTGGGCCCCCTCCCACACACGCGGCTCCTGGGCCCCCTCCCACACACGCGGCTCCTGGGCCCCCTCCCACACACGCGGCTCCTGGGCCCCCTCCCACACACGCGGCTCCTGAGCCCCCTCCCACACACACGGCTCCTGAGCCCCCTCCCACACACACGGCTCCTGGGCCCCCTCCCACACACACGGCTCCTGAGCCCCCTCCCACACACACGGCTCCTGGGCCCCCTCCCACACACGCGGCTCCTGAGCCCCCTCCCACACACACGGCTCCTGAGCCCCCTCCCACACACGCGGCTCCTGGGCCCCCTCCCACACACGCGGCTCCTGGGCCCCCTCCCACACACGCGGCTCCTGGGCCCCCTCCCACACACGCGGCACCTGGGCCCCCTCCCACACACGCGGCTCCTGAGCCCCCTCCCACACACGCGGCTCCTGGGCCCCCTCCCACACACGCGGCTCCTGGGCCCCCTCCCACACACGCGGCTCCTGAGCCCCCTCCTACACACGCGGCTCCTGGGCCCCCTCCCACACACGCGGCTCCTGAGCCCCCTCCCACACACGCGGCTCCTGGGCCCCCTCCCACACACGCGGCTCCTGAGCCCCCTCCCACACACGCGGCTCCTGGGCCCCCTCCCACACACACGGCTCCTGAGCCCCCTCCCACACACGCGGCTCCTGGGCCCCCTCCCACACACGCGGCCCCTGGGCCCCCTCCCACACACACGGCCAGAGCCCCCTCCCACACACATATGGCACCGGGGCCCCCTCCCACACGGTACTTGGGCCCCACACACACGGCCCCCTCCCCCCCACACACACGCGGCCACTACTCATTTTTTGAGGGGTTGCAGCAACCCATATTTTAACCAATTCCTGAATAGTAGGAATAGGTACTATTATCTCTGGAACGGAAGTTGCGATAATACATGCACCGGTAACAAAATATCGAAGATATTATGTGTCCGGTTTGTATTTTTTGTTAACAAATAATAGCAAGAAAAATTCATCTGCCTTGGAAGACAAAAACAAATATATGAGAGAGAGAGAGAGAGAGAGAGAGAGAGAGAGAGAGAGAGAGAGAGAGAGAGAGAGAGAGAGAGAGAGAGAGAGAGAGAGAGATATGGGGGGCAGGGGGGGGGGCAACATGCATATACCATATGTATGCTGGGCTACGGTGGTGCTGGGAGGGGGGATATTGCCCCCCCTCTCGTCCACCCTTAAGTACCCTCAAGGTCCAGCATCCATCACTCGCCTCCCCTCGTATCTCTCCTCCCTTCCTAGAACCCCCCCCCCCTCTGCTCCCTCGCCCTCCCTCCCACCACTAACACTCCTCCAGGCTCGCTTACCCATCAATATTATCTGAATACTGCAACACGTAATATACTGCGCCTGTACCCAAGATTTAATATGCAAATATATATTTACTTGCATATTTACTTATATATTTATTATTGCAGTCCCCGTGGCGTAGTGGTAAGACACTCGCTTGGCGTTTCGCAAGGGCTTTCCCGCCAAACACACAGCGAAACTACGACCTTGGTACAACGTTCGAACAAGTTTTAACACCACCTAACCAGTTATAACAACCAATATAGCAAGTTGTAACAACGTTCTAATACGTCATAAACACGGTAAGCCAAAATGTAACAACTTTATTACAAGTTCTAACAAGCGGAAAATAGAGACGGTTTCGGTTTGTGTTTCCAGGGTTGTCCTGGGTTCGTATCCTGGCCTAGGAGGACTGACCGGGTGCCAGTCCTTAACTGTAGCCTCTGTTTACCCAACAGTAAAACGGGTACCTGGTTGTTAAACGATTTGGCGGGTCGTATTCCGGGGAACATGGGATTAAGGACCTGCCCCAAACGCATGCCTGCTAGTGGCTGTACAAGAATGTAACAACTCTTGTACAAAAATAAATAAATAACATTGTATGTTTTAGTACTCAATTTCCCATAACTGTACTGTAAGTAGGAAAACAATTCTCTAAAGCTATGTAGGAGAGATGAAAATGTATATATATACTGGTTAGCATTGCATAAATGTTTGGCCACGTCATTGGTAGACAAATATAAAAAATGCACAAATATACACTCTAAATGTTGAGGTTGATGCTCTCAGATCCCGACCCTTCATGTTCTTCCCTTCACAAGTCTTCCCCTGGAAACACAAACCGAAACTGTCTATTTTTCGCTTGTTACAACTTGTAATAAAGTTGTTATATCTTGGCTTAATGTGTTTATGACGTATTAGAACGTTGTTACAACTTGCTATATTGGTTGTTATAACTGGTTAGGTGGTGTTAAAACTTGTTCGAACGTTGTACCAACGTCATAGTTTCGGTGTGTGTTTGGCGGGACTGATCGTCCCCCTCCCCTTGGTTGATCAGTCCAGCAACCAGGAGGCCTGGTCGACGACCGGGCCGCGGGGACACTAAGCCCCGGAAGCACCTCAAGGTAACCTCCCACCAGTGCTCGTCTCTCAGCGGCTCAGTTTCCCCTCACGTTATTGTTTGGTCCCTGGAGAGTGTTACTCAGATAGCACTTATGCCTCCAAAGTATAAAAAATGGATATTATTCCCCCCCCCCCCCTTTTGCTTAGACCTTTGTCATGACTTCGGGAAGGTGTCTTCAGGGCTACTTCAAGGCTGCCGACTCCTTACCTACAGCTGTGACAATACCGCAGCTAACTTCCAGGCACAAAAACTGTTTAAAAAATGTAATAAACTCGCAGCTCTTTACTGTCGCTATATGTTTTATGTAAACAAATCGTTTATGGCACAAACAAAATGTATTAATGCTATTCTAAACGGAATGAAAAAGGCAAAAAGCTTACGCCAGACCTATGACAGGCTAGGTCATTACATTTAGAACATTATACCTAACACTGTGTACATTACGTCCAAGACTGCGTATACTAGGTCTAAAAATTGTGTATATATATATATTATGTTCAGAACAAACGTGGACCCCGCCAAACACACAATAAAACTACGACGTTGGTACAACATTCGAACAAGTTTTAACACCTAACCAGTTATAGCAACCAATATAGCAAGTTGTAACGACATTCTAATACGTCATATACACGTTAAGCCAAGATGTAACAACTTTATTACAAGTTGTAACAAGCAGAAAATCATGACAGTTTCGGTTTGTGTTTCCAGGGACTTTCTTGTCGGCGGCCGAGAACCTCCATTTGGTGGATGGCCACCCGGCCTGGGTCTCCAACATACCCCCCTCAACACACATGTTTATATACTGTACAAAACGCAATTCGACTGTTAGGCAAAACAATTGCATTTTTGTTTACGGAGTGGCGAATCGCGAGAGCCGGCTGCCGAGTTGAGGGTAGGGAATACTGGGGTTAAATATTCTCCCTGTAGGGTTTGGGGGTGTGCTGGTGGGGGTGTGCTGGTGGGGGTGTGCTGGTGGGGGTGTGCTGGTGGGGGTGTGCACGTGGGGGTGCGTGTAGTGGAGGTGTTGGTGGTACCTACACTCATGTTTACATACAAGCTCTGGCATGCTTCACCCACACACACAGCCACCCCCCCCCACACACACACACAGAGCCGGCCGGCCGAGGGGACAGCACGCTGGACACGTGATCCTGTGGTCCCGGGTTCGATCCCGGGCGCCGGCGAGAAACGATGGGCAGAGTTTTTCACCCTATGCCCCTGTCACCTAGCAGTATATAGGTACCTGGGAGTTTGTCAGCTGTCACGGGCTGCTTCCTGGGGTGTGTGTGGTGTGGGGGAAAAAATAGTAGTAGTAGAAACAGTTGATTGACAGTTGAGAGGCGGGCCGAAAGAGCAGAGCTCAACCCCCCCCCCCCCCCCCCCCGCAAGCACAACTAGGTGAATACTACTTGGTGAA